GGGAAAAGGAGGCTCAGAGGGGACGTTCTGGCTCCAAGCCCCACCCAGCCTGGCCTAGTTAAGGGGAATTCATTGTCTAAGGTCTCAATCTTGGTCTTTTTGCTGTTGAACACTCGTTGTGGGTGGGGATGGCCAGAGCGTGTGTGCTGCCTTTGTCCTGCCTTACCTTTTCTTTCTCATTGTCTCCAGTGAGTTCATTTCTATGGCCTTCTTTTTCATCTTGATGGAAAACTCCTGGGATAAGGATCCACCTCCTTTCAGCTCCATACCTGGATTAATGCTGAGATCTCCCTTGACTTTGTCAGCAGTGACCTTTGTGAGAGCGAATTGGCTGGAATCTGGACCATCTCCCGAGGGAAGGAGGGACTCTGAAATGATTCCATGCATTTGCTTCAGCAGGATGGCACAGACTCAGCACTGTAAGTATTTCACCCCCAGGAAAGCTGGAAGGTGGGACAGTTCAGCCATGATCCCAGTGACCCCCAGACATTAGCTATGGAATTTGTGAACTTCACATTGATATATTTGGGCTTTACCTGTGCTTTTCCCATCTTCTTCAGGCAGCAGCACATCGTCCAGACTAAACCCTGTACACTGGTAGTAGGGACGTGAGTGGAATATGGTATTTTGTTTTCTTTTTTGTATCAGAAGACACAAGGGTCTGAAGTGCTCCTGGTCTGCGATGCTCTCGACAGGGACCCATTCTTGGTTTGGATGTATTTGACTTGCAATGTGTCTGGTGACTTTTTTAAACATTCTGCTGTGTGTGGATTAAATTTTTTAGCAAAGCCAAGTGGATTTGTGCCTTGGGAAAGAGGCAAGATAAATTAAGCCAAATTACTTGAAATAAGAGCAGGAAATATCAAGCAATCAGCCCAGGCCAGCCCCCTTGGGTGTGGTCTGGTGCTGTGCAGGGGAGAGCTGGTGTTTGAGAGCCAGAAACAAAGCCCTGTTTCCTGAGGCAGCTTGTTTTTCAACAAAAAAAAGTTTCAGTTTCACTTTTCTGGTGTGTTGGGGGAGGGAAAGCCAGGGAATACCAGACTGGTTTGGGTTGGAAGAGACCTTAAAGCCCATCCAGTTCCAACCTCTGCCATGGGCAGGGACACCTTCCACTAGCCCAGGTTGCTCCAAGCCCCATCCAACCTGGCCTTGGACACTTCCAGGACTGGGGCAGCCCCAGCTTCTCTGGGCAACCTTTGCCAGGGCCTCACCTGGCTCCCAGGGAGGGAGGAATTTCTTCCCAACATCCCATCTAACCCTACTGTCTCTCAGGTTAAATCCATTGCCAAGACAAATAGGCTCGTGTGCCCAATTTTAGTAGCGCTTGCAGGGCTCATTGCCTTGGAAGTCTTCAAGAAGGAAGAAAAACTAAGGAAGAGCACTTAGCAGACAGCTTCCCTCAAGGCTCTGCTCCAGCCCAAGCTCTGCAATAAGGCACTTGCCTGTTTGGTGGATGCCTCCTGTGGATCGGGAGCCTGGGGGCTGCTGAGGGGATGTGAGCCCTGCAGAGCAGCAGGACTGGGGAGGAGATCTCTGGCTTCCCTTCTGCTCAGAGGGCTGGAAGCGTTTGCTAAATGAGGGAGTTGGCAGAGGAAGCAGTAAGCAGCACAAACCCAAAGAGTTTTAATCCAAAGTGATTTTCCTTACCTTGCTAATGGGAGAGGGGGTGTCTCCCTGAAGCAACCCCTGGGGCAGAAGCACCGTTAGACCCAGTCCTTAGACCCAGTCTGTGCAGGAGGATCCCTGGCTGGTCACTCCAGCTTATCCCGAGTCACTCTCAGATGTGAGCGACTTCCTGTCATCTTCACCTTGTTCAGCCTTCACACAACTATTGCTTAACTCTGCCACTGAAAGGCTTTGGTGA